ACCTCACCGTAACGTGAAAATTGTTTTTTATTTGAAAGCTAGAAACATGGACTATTGTGTATCCTATTTTGAGTTTTCTTTTTAAATCTGAAATATCAGTTTTTTAATTTACCAGGGTCAGTCATTAACCATATTCCGCTACACATTAACAGCTGGCTTACATGCATACATCGAACTATGATTAAAGATGTTACATTACACATTACACTGCAGTTTACCTTTTGTTCCTGAAACCAGCTCAAGAATTATCCACACTTGGACTAAACTAGCCAGTAAACACAATATTCCTGTCAACGTCAAATTTTCACAAAAACCCGGCCCTAAATTAAAATCATTACTAAACAAAAATTATTTAGAATCACACAATACAACGTCATTTACAAAATAACATGCAATAACTGCCCAGAATTCTACATCGGAGAAACAGGAAGAAAATTGGAAACCAGATTGACAGAACACAATAAAAAAACCGTCCCATGTTTTTCACAATTGCAGTTAAAAAAAACACAGTCATTTTAAACAAAGAGCCCAACATAAACAAACGAAAAATTAAGAAATCCATCTTAATTGAACAAAACAACCCTACTCTAAACCAACACCCCGGGGTGCCTAGATACCTCTTCTAAGTTTAGCAACAGTTCCGGTCATGTGACTTCTTTGTTCAATACTGTATATATATATCCGTGTCAGTGTAAATTACTTGTACCTGATGATGACAAAACCTTGTCGAAATATTGTACATTTGCTGTTATGTTAAACTTATATTAAAGTTTTTCTTCATTACCCATTCAAGCCGTCTCCAACCATTATTAGTCTCAAAGTGGGTTCCTCGTCATCGAATTAATATTAGGTCAATGCTCTCAACACGTCATTACTTTTTAGAAATTGGACGCCCCCTGGTATTGTTGACGGGTCAATGCCCTCGACACATTATATAAGCTTGTCGTTACTTCCGGTTCCAGATTGGCATCTAATACTACTGACACAAAATTACAGATAGCTGTTTAGTCTTCATGGAACTATACTGTACAAAGATTATGAAGGGACTACTGTAGAGGGCATACAAAAGATACAAACAGAATCCGAAAACTATTGTGATTTATTGTCTTAAGCAACGGATTTTTATTGTCAAATATCATAAAAGTGTTATTATAACTTTGAAACCAGATTTGATATGGTTTGTAGATTCTATGCAGAGAGTAGAACTATCCTGCTGACCAATGAAATTTACTTTAATCCCTGGGACGTGTTGTTTTAAAACCTTTTTTATAATCATGAGCATTTAGACATGCAAAAACTTCACTAAAATGCATCATACAACCTAGGATACGGCCTACACTACCACAATACTTCAGAGTTGTCACAAGATAATCAAAGTAAAGTCATTGGCTGTCTGCTTACAGTTCCATATACGTGCAATACTGTGAAACACCATTAACTGCTTCTTATTCTCTATAAAACTTCCTAGCCAATCACCATGGCTTAAGTGCTGACGTACCTTACACCGAAAGAAAAATCCTGAATATTCCTTAAGATAATATATTATTTGCTAATGACAGTTTCCCCAAAGCACTCAACTTCAAGAAGAACACATTGCACGAACGTCAGAGAAAATGTTTACTCACTTTTGATCACATTGCATCCCGTGAAACTGCTGTAGTTTTTTTTAAGGAAAATTTCTAACAGTTTACATTAATACTAACAAGTGAATATGAGTCACATCAGAAAGCACTTTCACTAACTCAAAAACTTTTTAATGGTATGCTTTCAACTTACAGATAATATTAGACAACTTCACGAACAGCGAATCATCCAAAACATCACAGATACTTCATACTTAACTTTGGATGTTTACAGAGGCTTATAATTTGTCTTTGCATAACTTGCGTAAAAAAGTATTAAATATTCTTAATACGGGCTGAAGTTTCAAATGTTTTGTGTAGATTGTACGCTGCAATTGAGCACAGTAAATTCTTGATGTTTTGAATAAAATGTACTTCTATAAGTTTTCTGAAAGGGTAAACCTTCTAACAACACTATGAATTATTTATTCTGAAAGGGTAAACCTTCTAACAACACTATGAATTCTTTATTCTGAAAGGGTAAACCTTCTAACAACACTATGAATTTTTATTCTGAAAGGGTAAACCTTCTAACAACACTATGAATTCTTTATTCTGAAAGGGTAAACCTTCTAACAACACTATGGATTCTTTATTCTGAAAGGGTAAACCTTCTAACAACACTATGAATTCTTTATTCTGAAAGGGTAAACCTTCTAACAACACTATGAATTCTTTATTTTGAAAGGGTAAACCTTCTAACAACACTATGAATTCTTTATTTTGAAAGAGTAAACCTTCTAACAACACTATGAATTCTTTATGCTGAAAGAGAAATGTAAAAAAGTAAATTTTATATCATGTTAAATTTGAAATACTTAAATATTCTACTAACCTTTTCCCCTCGAATCTTATAATTATCTAAGCATTAAACGTGTAGGAGTCACTGATTTGTACAACAGATATGTTGTTTAAAAAAAGCAAAGCAGCGTTCTTTACTGTTAAGCTACAATACTAATAAAGTGACGTTTTACAGCTCCAAGTGACCAGATTATAGCATTATTAACTTTCATGATCGCGATGTAGGTTCAGCATCGTCCACATAACAGATTTTTAGGCTTCGTATATTTTTAATATCTTGCTTTTGGGATAATAAGATATAAAATATAGCTTCCTTAGTGCATTATTTATGTTTGAAAGAATAGTTTTAGTTATTTAGTAAACTGAATAAGAATACTGAGTATAAGTAAACGAGATTATAAAAACAGTACTATAGTTACAGGTATATTCTGGTATCACCAGAGAATCTGTGTTGTGATGGATATCATGTAAACTTTATTCTCCTTTAACAATGAACCATTCCTATTTAAATGTGTATTATTTTCAAGCATTAGTATTTATGCTCATATAATTTTGAATTTATATTAAAAAACAAATGATAGTTAAATAGTAAACCTGAACGCTTATAACGCTAAAAATCAGGTTTCAATAACTGTGGTGGGGAGAGCCCTGACAGCCCATTGTATTTATCTTTTTATGTAGATCATATTGCAAAATATTTATTGTGAAAATAATAAAACGTTAAAAAGAAATACTGTGTCAAAAACTGAATTTTTGTTATATTAAACCAATAACAGATTTACACGTAATCAAATATAGACGTTCTTCACATGTTCAAACAGTGAGCTCATCATCCTCCACCTATAAAAACATTATTGCCTGCCTATGTAAAACACATATAATATATAGATTAAAAATTATAAATATAAGTTGAAATCTGTATGCAATCCTGTTAAACACTATCCAACTTTGTAAAGCTTATGTGTGTTAAAACTATAAACTAACGTGTGTAAAATGAAGTATTTTGTCGAGAACATATTTATATGGCTAGCATAAAGACAAACTAGACAATAAGATTGTAGTACGTTTGCATGTTAAATAAGCATCCTTTTCAGGCCGATAAGTTACTTACATATGATAGGTAAAGAAATGTAAAAAGGTATGATTAAATATAGAATTAATGAATTAGTGAAGTGTTTTATACATAAAACGACTGTATTGTTTTTAGATCATAATTAAATCTATCTGTTGATTACATGCTGAAACACTTATAATTAGATCATCATGATTGTCATTGCGGCCTAAAAGCGCGGCCTTAAATGCACCATGTGAGATAAAGTATAAATAAATGAAAGAGCGACAAGATATTAAGAAAAACATATCGTGCTCAGCCCTCTGCTGTTGGTGCATTATAAGAGTGACAGTCAAAGCTGACTATTTTATCAGAGTAGTCCAAAAGTTCCGTTAAGTTTATCATTTGAAAATTAGTGATGGGTGTCACAGTGGCTCCAATGTAACTTTGCGCGAAATCCAACAAGCAAACGAAACGTTCAGATTGTTAGCAACTCTATCTCAAAAACCTTTAGTCTAGAAATTATTTTCAAACTTCAGTCAATAAAAGATAACTCTAAGGTTGCTCAACTGATTCAATTAGTTGTATGTAAGATAATATTTAAGGGGTCTTATATATTTATTATATCTTTAAAACGTTACCATTAACTTACCAATCAAAATCAGACAGACCATGACTCTTTCTAGTTCCGTGATAAATACTGTCTCTTTAGTACATTAATTACAATAATAATACTCCAAATTACGTATTAATGTTTATACTTCTAACTTTGCTGAGCCCACATAATAAAGAGCATTCTTCTACTTAGTTACATTTATTTTCTTATCATGTTTATCATGATTGAACATGAAAGACAGGAGAATGTATTGGGAAACGCTAGTGATATTAAGATTATTGTATTATGGTTTATTCCCTTTGATGATCTATATTGCTTTGGAACTTCGAGAACCTGCAAGTGTAACTCTATTTGAGAAATTTGTATATATTATTGAAATTTGTAGATATGTTGTGAAATACTTTTTTTTCCAAAAAAAATGTTCCTATACCGTTTTAAAGAATAATAGCTTACAATTTAAATATAATTTATGTCTTCTCAATACATACAACGTTGTATGTTGACAAAATATATTGTCTTATCATGTCTGATTGAACATGTAAGACAGATCAAGGAAAAACTTGGTAATCAGTTTTTAACTTACATTTTGAATAAAGAAATGGATAAACATGCCAAACAATGTTTTAAAACCACTCTCCGTTGCAGATATCAAAACCAAATTTATATGTTCTTTTCCGCTTCTATAAAGACTATTTTATACGCTAACTTTTATAGGGTTTTCTATCTAGTTCTTACGCCAATGCCACCTACGGTGTAAAGTTTCTACAAATAAATTGGCGCAGTCGGCTCTTTCGAACATGCGCAGATTAATTTATCACAAATCCACCAATCTCAGAACCCGTATTTCCGAGATGTACACAGTAGATAGATATATAAGCGGTTAAGTCTGAAAGCTGTCATCAAGATATCCAGGACCCAGTCAGGAGTGCTATTACGTTATATCATCAGCTCTCACTGTTAAGTTGATCTTAATAATTTAATATTTTTTTTTATTTTCGCTATCAAAACAATAGTTCTCAGGCCATTTCTTGTTGTAAAACTTCCACTTCTGTTCATTACAATAGGTCTAACTTAACATTAGCTCTAAATAGGTATTTTTACCTAAGGAGTGTATAAAGAAAGCTCTTGTTATACAAATAATAGCCTTAACAACTTTTGTTTATAAAAACGACTCCAATGAACTTTTACTACTAGAAGTTTATATGAGAAAGTTATTTGAATAACAGTCACTATATTCTACTTATGTTTTAAAACTAAAAGAATGGCTTTGGAGTATGGAATATACAGAAGCTATAGTAGAAAAGGAATATAAATTAGAATATTTCCGAAAAGGTTCTAAAAACTGCTTGAAAAATAACTTATAAGATTTGTAAGGAGCAAAAACAAAAGCAGGTAAGTATTAGGTTACCAAATAATCTTAGGCTGTGGGTTGGAATCGAGCTCGTTCCGAATCCGTGCGATACCGAAAAATTTAAGCTGTGTGTGCATTATAAAAGTAACAGCTGGTTCCATAGCTTGGGTTTTACTGATTAGCTGTTCTCGTTCTGGTGTCGGTAGATTAGAATTAGGGACAACGGCAAATACGCTTAGTAGCTTTGCCGTAAATACAAAATACTAACATTAAATACCACACAAATTTAGCTTTCTTATAAAAACGGAAACAATAGTGTTAAATCCTGAAATTGTTCAATTTATAACAGATTAAGTGAAATGTTTTTTTTTATTCCTTGTAAACTCCCAGTGGAGCATAGAGCCGCATCAACACCTCGCCAACGGAAGATGTTGTCGCAGTTACCTGTAGCAAGTTGGTTTGTACGGGGTGGAGTTGCTAGCCCCGCTCCTCCTTTCTCATCCTGGACTTGGGACCAGGCAAATGCGGAGATTGGCATGTTTAGTGTGACGGGGATTCGAACCCGCGACCCTCAGATTACGAGTCGAGCGCCCTAACCACCTGGCCATGCCGGGCCAAGTGAAATGGTTTAAAACTGAAGAAATTAATATTGAAAATATATTATATATGTACTTTATTTTCAAATGTTTTACAATAGAATTGGATCTAATTCGTTTCAAAGTTTATCATTTATGGAGTAAATATTTACTATTCCTGATTCTTTTAAATATGCACGTCTATTAAGTGAACTGCCCCATACCAAAACCCATTTTCACATTAGCTCCCTATTTACAAGAATAACTCTCAATGAAATCATTGAAATTGGTGTATCTTGGTTTTCACGTAATAATATTTATATAAATGGCTTTTCTGAACCTCAAATTAAGACCATTTTGAACTTTACAAACAAATATTTATATTTTCTATTCAACAACGCCTTCTTTGAACAAATAGATGGCGCTGCGATGGGTCCATCGCTAGTTAAATGAAGATTGCTTAGCTAGCCCGCGTATTTTGTTTTACCTACCATCATGCTCCAAGTTGAACAAAAAAACGCGGCCTGCCTAACTTTAAGTCGCACACTCAATCCTGTTTTGGCTGCACCTTTTTTCACATCTAAGGTGTTTTTGATTAGATTAAGTTACGCGAAACACCGGTTGTAAGCTTTGTTTAAGTACGTGAAGAGGATGAAACTGTGAAATTGTTTAACGAGTTCAGTAAACGTCTATTTTTCTGTAGATTTATGGTGCAGAATCCGTTAGAGTTACTCTTAATGAGGATGTCTAAATTATCATTATCCTCAACTTCACATGTGCATTTAATGGCAGGAAGTTGTGAGTTCAATTATTCTAAAATAGTTGAGCAGTGATCTTGATTATGAAAGAGAATATAAGTCTCGTCTACATACGTTGTCTGAAGTCAGTGTGGCAGGTGTGGAGCCATTTCTGTTCGTGATGAAAGAGAGAGAAACACATTAAAGTGCACATTGTTTAATATGCACACTATTTTTGTTGTCACTTCTCTACTTTTTTTATGTTTCAGATTGGATTAAATTATCGTTAATGTGGCAACGCATTTTAGTAATTTACCTAAAAATTGATGTAAATTCCTTACGTTTTGTTTTAGATACTGAAGATGGAATCTGTAGAATTCCGAAACGTTTATCTGCGTCCCTTTTGACATAAATAATATCTTTCGTCATAAGTGTCATAGTCATTTTTATTTTCAAACTTCGTTTTCCTTCGAACAATTACTGTTGTTTAAATTCATTGATACATCTAAATACAAGCGCCTTAAGTTTGGTTTAACAAGAAAGAACGAAGAAAATATACTTTAAAATATCCCAGATGTTAAACTTCATGGATAACCGTATTGAAGTTGTACATACATGATTTCAAAGACAATCATAAGTATGTGATTTATAACCAACATTAACAGGTAGTTCAGTTTTTTTTTTTTTTCAGGCTTATATTATAAAATTGTGTATTTCACTGCAGAACCAGAACAATGTCCAGACTGTCCACAAGGAGTTGTGTCCTTCTTATCTGTCTTCTAGTGACTCTAGTCGTTGTTAACGAAGTTTCGTCACAAATCACTTTCCCTCGTGGATGGAAACCAGGAAAACGATCAAGTAACTGCGATGAAGTTGAAAACAACATATTTTGGCAATTGGAACGTCGAATCAAGGTATGATTATTTGAAAATTAGTTTTCATTCAAGATTTTTGATAATTTCACTTTGAAGTTTATTTAATTAAGGTAATTGCATATATAAATTAATCAAGCATTGAAGCCAAAGAAAGCATTAAAGTGTTTTGGCTAACGAACAGAAAAGAATATCGATTTTAACGAGTTAGCTACTAAACTGGAAGACAAACTTCCTGTTTCTCAGTGGTATGGCCAGGTGGTTAGGGCGCTCGACTCGCAATCCCTCCGTCACACCAAACCTGCTCGCCCCTTCAGCCGTGTGGGCGTTATAATGTGACGGTCAATCCCAC